CGATACCATACCGTCGAGACAGAGCTCCGGTACGGTGATCGTTGAGCTTTGCAGATCCGGATAGGGAAGCGTGACAGGTGCCCAGACCTAGTGGTGATAGCTAAGGGGTTTTCTGAACATGACTCCTAAGCCGTAGAAACTCGTCCCTGAGCGGGGGACGTGGAGCCACTTAGGGTAACTCAGTAGCTGACCGGCACATAGGGGGTCGCACCCCGCTTTGTGGATGTATGGTCCCGTGTGAGGGTCGTCAGTTAACCTCCACGGATGATGTTCAGAGAGAGAGTCACGTATTCGGATCCAGCCATACGATCCCCTCAGATTTGCTTATGAGGTCGCGCCTCACCTCAGGACGCTGATCATTTCACTGCATAAGATGGGCAAGCCTCTTATGATGCATAAAAGAGTTGTAGCTTAGATCACCCTGCATAGAAACCCGAGAAAGACCGTGGTTACCTACCAAGATAAGGATGCGAAAAGAGCCTACAAGTAGGCTACTTACTGAGTATTCTTTTATACTCATTCCTTTCTACTCTTTTTTTTTTCAGGCGAGTGAGGCCAGGGATCGAGGCGGGAATGCATGCTGAATCTTAATGCCACAGAGGAGTGTCCCGGGGCGTCTAGGAGTCTGTGCCTAATTTTGTTTAGATTTGTCATGCATTGTTTTGTAAACCGCTTACTTACTATTCATATTTGAACACCTTGTTTTGGATTTTAAACCTCCTTCATAATTGTTAAAGTTTCTTTTTGTGAAATCTCGTTTCTCTATTGGTTCTTACACGATTTCATTGCATAGTCTGTTGGTCCGGCTCTTAATTTCGAGATTCAAATTTTGGGCTGTGACAGTTTGGTATCAGAGCCTTGTTTTAAGGTCCTGTAGACATTAGGTTGTAGAGTCTTGTATCTCTGTGGCTTAAGTTTCGACACGCTCCGCCGCGACCTGGTAAGTTCTCTGATAACTGAGAAATAGGAAGACTTGAGTTATATGCTATTGGATCTAAGACGAGGATTAAAATATTAAGGATGTGCTTCTTTGAATTAGGCACAATGAGAACGCATTTTTGACTCACTCCCCTCTGTTGTCAGATAATGGCGCCAAAGAGAGGAGGAGATTACCTTGGGCCTGGTCCTAGGAGGGGCAGGAGAAGGGTCGAAGAAGACCCAAATCTTCATTTCCTCGAGATGGAGCAACACCCACCTCTAGAGGAGAACCCAGAACTGACCTCGGATGAGGAACAAACGCCGCCACCGGCGCCCGTGCCGAGGCGAGCTAGAAGGAAGGCCGAGCCTCGAGTTATTCTTGAGACTGCTCCTCAGGATCAGGAACCTGAAGAAGCTCCACCAGCGCCAGCACCGATTCCTGTGGTGCCTGCTCAGTCGACGACGACAGTTTCAAGGGATGAGTTTCAGGCTTTCATGAGAGCCACCATGGAGACTCAGGCACAGATGGCTCAGATAATGCAAACTCTAGCGACAAACCAGACCACTGTGCAGGGGACGAGTGATCCGGGCACGACTATAGAGTCCCGTTATTTGAAGGACTTTCAGAGGTATAAACCGCC